CCTATGGCAGTGGGTCGGTGGAGGAGGAGCAGGCGCCTGTGCTGGCCCTGAAGCCGGGGCCGGGGGGTGAGCTGCCCCACAGCCAGCAGCCGCAGGTGCACTGAGGGGCTGGAGCCCCGGCACCCGCCCAGGGGGGCCGCATCACCCCCCACTCTGTCCTGCTCATGCAAGTGCCTTCCGGACTTGGGGCCCAGCTGCCTGGACTCAGGGGGATGGGACACAGATAGCTCCTGCCCCTCTCTGCTCTTATTTAATGGTCCCTCTTCTGAATAAAGGGACGCAGTTTCCATTCGCCTTTGCCCTCCCTCCCTCTCTCCAGCCCCAGCCCTGAGCAGGCAGGGTGCTAACCCCCCCGAGCCCTGCCTGGGGCTGGGAGTCCGGCAGCAAGGAGGCAGCTGCTGGCCCCTCCTCAGCATCCCTCCATGCCGGGGCTGTCCCCAGCCAGGGGGAGAAACCACAGTGCACACAAGAAGTGAAGAGCAAGTTTTACTTCAGTAACTGAGAGAAGAAGCTGTACAAAGGTTTTTCTCCCCCCAAGCCCCCTGGGGCAAGGGTGGATTTTTTTTCTTTTTTTTTTTTTTTTTGCAATAGACTCAAAAGAGCAGAATAAAAAGTTTGACACATTCGCAAAGTCAGTGCTGAAACCAGCCAGGTCCCGGGCGGCCAAGAACAGCGCGTGTGACAGCCCCCGTCCGCAGCCCTTCCGCTGTCCCCAGACCCCTCCCTGCACACCCTGGGCGCTCCTGCGGCCATGCTCCACCACCGGCACCTCGCTCCAGACGAGCATCCTCCAGCCCACCCTGGGGTGGTGGGGGCTGCCCCAGCCTGCCCCTCACCTTGGAGAAGAGGGAGCCCGCGGCCAAGGAAGTGACTGCACCACTGCTCTTGCAGCACGAGGACCTCACAGCGCTGCAGACGGGGCTTTGCCGGCAGCCTCCAAGGCCCCAGCCATGCTTTGGAGAAGCAGCATGGGAAGGAAAGCCGGCTCCAGGCTGTGCCAGCCCCATACGGCAGCGGGGAGCCCCAAGTCAACCCTGGCTTTGAGGTTCACCTTCCCCTGCCAGGAATACTTACACGCTGTTACCCAACACCCCTCGGGTACGATGCTCACACCCAGGCAGCACAAACAGGGCCGGTCCAGGCTGCCGCTGGGGGGGGTCATGAAGCACCAGCGCATCAGCCTCCCATGCAGCCACGAGCGCAGCAATGGGTGCTGCCATCCCAAGGCTGCCTCCTCAGTGCCGGTGGCCACGGGGCTGTCTCTCTCCGAAGGGTTGCTGGTGCCGGAGCGGGGCTGGGGTGCAGGCAGCAGCACACACAGGAGCCCATGCTCAGCTTGCTGCAGGAGGGAGCTGGGTCTCCCCCTAAGTCCATGTAAAAATCTCATCCCTCCAGAGTGCAGTGCCTACCAGACATGGCTGGGTTTATGGTTTTGTTTTTTTAAACAGTTCCCAAAAAGCATCAAAAGTAGCCCCAAAAAACCCTCCCTGGTGGTCAGCTCGATCTGGTACTAAAAAGTGCAAAACTGTATCACAAAAACCGTTCAAAAGTTGTAAGAAAGCGGGGAGGGTGCAGAGGTGGCTGGGGTGGCGGGGAGGGGGGCCAGGTGCCATCGCCCTCCTCCCCTGGCCACCAGCCCCAGGAGAGGGGGCAGGCCAGGGCAGGCCCCCTCCTGTCTGCCCCCCATGGCACAACGGAGCTGGAGGAGAAGCGGCCGCTGGCTTTGTTTTGCTGCGTCTTTTTTTTGTTGTTTTTTTTTTTTTTTAACCACTGAAGAATTGAGCCCAGTGGGTGGGTTTCGGTTGTTCCCCCTCCCCAGGGCAGGGGGACTGGGTCCTGCAGCCAAGCACAGGACAAGGAGGGGCAGGAGGCCGGGGGGCGGCCCCCTGCCGTGGGCAGGGACCGGGGCCGGTCCTGCTCTGCCATTGTCTCCAGCGGAGGAGCCGCGGGGGGCGCTGCCGGGGGAAAGGCCCTGGGCCCGTCCTGCTCTGCCATTGTCTCCAGCGGAGGAGCGCCGTGGGCAAGGACCTGGGACCGTCCTGCTCTGCCATTGTCTCCAGCGGAGGAGCCGCGGCCCTGCCTGGCTGGTGCTGGCAGCCGGGGAAGGGCTGTCACCCGCCCCCAGCTCGTGCCGCAGACGGACAGACTCATGCAGGGTCTCGGCAGGCACGTGGCCTCCATCCCGGCACCGGGGGGGAGCAGGAACGGAGCTGCAGCGCGGACGGCTGATGCCCCTTGCTTATGACTTCTGGGGATGGCCGGGGGGCTGGCGGCCGGCGCGCTCTGAGACATTGCGCTTCACCTTGGTGGCCGTGCCGGAGGGCTCCGCGTTGAGTGAGGGGCTGGAGTGGGATTTTTTCAGGCCATCATCCTCCCCACCCGCTGCGTCAAAGAGGGTGGACTCAAACGCTGCCAGGTCCTCGGAGCCGGCCTTCAGCTTGGCCCGCAGCAGCATGGCGTAGGTGCCGTAGCGGGATTTCTGGGGGGCACAGTGCAGTAGAGAGAGGGGTGGGGGGGATGCTCGTGGTCCCTCCACCCCAGCCAGCATCCCAGGGTGGGGGGATGCTCATGGTCCCTCCACCCCAGCCAGCATCCCAGGGTGGGGGAGGATGCTCATGGTCCCGGAGCATGGCAGTAGCACAGTGCAATTCAGCTGACGGGGATGGGGGGACCCATCACTCAGGATGGCCAAGCAGGCAGGGGCAGAGGGGCTGGGGGCAGAGCGGGGGGGGGCATCTCCCAGCTCACCTCAAACTCCAGGTACTCTTCCTTCTGCTTCAGCTCCTCGTACTCCTTGCCTTTCACCTTCTTCTCAGGCAGCGAGGAGCGATGCTCCAGCAGCTCTGCTGACATCGTCTTGAACTTGGTCTCATGGCTCTTCACCTGCTCCTCCTGGGGAAGGGTGGCACCACGTCAGTGCCCCGCTCTGCCCCTGAGCTGTCCAGGGCCAGAACAGGTTTTTTTTTTTTTCCCCTCCTAGGTCCAGCCAGGATCTTAGCTTCTGCTCCTGGGTTTGTTTGTGGGGGGGTTTTTTTTGGTTGTTGTTTTTTTTTTTTTTAAATGGCAGGCAAAAGCACAGGCCCTTGGGGGCAATCTGCTCCTGCCTCGCAGGGGGCTAGCTGCAGTCTTAAAACAGAATTTAATCCCCTCTAAAGCTAGGCTGGTGGGTCTTTTTTAATCCTTTCTGCTCTATGAGTAACTGCTCTGGCACGCACGAGTGCCAGCTAATCCCCCTGGCCGGTCACCTTTCAAGGTCTTGGCCCTGACAGGACCCTGCAAGCCGTGGTGTGGGACCACGTTCTCCTCCACGGTCTGACTCCATCACCTGTCCCCGCTGCCAGGAACAAGACCTTGCTGCCCACCCCCAAACTCAGCACCGCCTTGCTCCATGTCTCCCTGGCCATGCTCCCTTCGGCCCCGTACCCTGCTGGGAGGCAGCCGGGCGCGTGGCACCACACAGGGCCCTGCACAGGGGACAGTGCCACCAGCAGACCCAGGGGGTCTGTCCCATGCTCCTGGCTGCCCCCACGCCACGGCCCACCTGGGACAGCCTGGTGCAGGAGCTGGGCAGCAGCGGGCGGCTGAACTTCTTCTGGGAGCCGATGGCTGCAGGGAAGGGGGGTGCAGAGAACATGGCTGCCACCACATTGATGCGCGTGATCCACGAGTGCATCTGTTCAGGGTTCCTGGGGAGAAAAGCCAAACCACAGATGGGCTCTAAGTGGCACTATCTGTGTCACAGGCAGAGGGACCTGCCCTGCAGACGAGATCTGGGTCCCGCAGGCCTGGCTGGCGAGCCCTGGCACCTGGGGCTTTGCCCCCAGCGACTTGGGCCATCGCAAGCCCATCGGGGTGGGAAGAAGAGGAGCTGGGCAAAGCACAGTGCTGACACCAGGTCCTTTTCCTTCCAGAAAGGGCCGGGACAGGAGAGAGCAATGTGGCCCTAAGCCCCATCCCACCCTCCGCCCCAGTCAGACGAGCCCCTGTGCCCCAGCGTGGGGCCCAGCCAGTGATCCTGGGGGACTCACTGTGCTTGGAAGAGGAAGACCCTCCAGTCAGCTGTCCTGAGGTAGAAGACATTGGGTCGCTTGCTGTAGTCAGACGCCCGTGTGGCAAGCGAATGGTGGATGCTAATAGCGTTCTTCAGCTCCTCTTCCGCCAGCGACTTCCCTGGCTTATACTCCTCCTGCGAATCACAGGGCATTTCAGAGCCAACTTAGGGATGCACCCCACCATGAGTCAGCTCTACAAGGCCGTGGGGCCTGCAGGTGAGTGCTTGCAGTGGTGGGGCTGGGACATCACCCTCCACCAGGCTGCTGCAGGCTCTGCCTCCAGCTCATGCTATACCCATGGGGAGAGGCTGCACAACCCAGGTGCATGGGCTTGGCCACAGCACAGTGGCTGTTCCCCGCTGCCCCGCAGCTGGGCAGTATGTGTGCCTGCAGGAGACTGGATTTGCTGCCCAAATCCGCCCCCCTCCCCTGAGGACAAAGGCCCCGGTGCCTGTTCTCTGCCCAGTCAAGCCCCCACACGCAGCAGGGCCCTCGGTTAGCAGCTGCTTTCACTGCCCAGGCTGAGCCTGAGCACCCCAGGAACAGGGACGCCACCAGGACCCCAAGCAACGGCTCAAGCAGGCATGGTGCCAAGTCTGCTTAGGCCAGGCTTTGCAATGCCATGCGCTGGAGCCCCTCTCTTGCTGCTGTGGGGATTGTCATAACCACCCCCCCTGGGTTGCGGACGATCCCTCTCCCTGGCACGGATGGCCCCGCTGCTGCCTACCTTCTGCAGGTAGAGAATCATCCCCTTCAGGATGGCATGGAAGGGCTTCCAGCCGCGCTTCCCTCGGGGCGCTGCCGAGGAGGAGAGAGCAGCCCAGACATCAGCCCCAGCAAAACGCTGGGGAAAGGCATCCCTCCCCCCATCCTCCTCCAGCCAGCCCTGCCACGGCGCACGTCACCCCACCCCGGGGACGGGCGGCATGCCAGGACTGTCCCCGCACACCTGAGCCCGTGCTGGCTGCGTGGCTGGCAGATGGTGCTGCTGGCAGGGGGGCCGCCTGCCGCCTCCCGGGGCCGGCACCGCTGCGCTCCCTGCCTCGCCGCTC